TCGCTAGGCCCAGCCAAAAATCTTTATGGAATAATTAAAAGATAAAATTTAATATTAAGATGGGTATTTGTGACCTGTGGTTATTAAAGTTATTAAAAAGACCCTGCCAAGACTTTGATTGTGCTGAATAAGTATTTTAGCAATGTTTTATGCATTGTGATTCTGAGTTTATTCTGAGTGCACCTTTGAGCTGTGTGGGACTTAAAGTGTTACAGCAAGGAGCATAAAAAGCAAAGCCAGACGTTGCATATACACAAATTCTGAAGTATCGCCATTAAGGAAATAAATTCATGTACGGCCATTATTGCTATTAGTAAATCAAAGTGCTGTCGCATACAAATCGACATTATTAGTCGCCACTGTTATTATCAGTCCACGTTGGAGAACTTCTTATTTTTTGACAGTCAACGATTACTATTCATCGAATATTCTGAAAAGGGAGAGAATATCAACCGCTACTGCGTCATATTGAAACAGTTGTACATGTGTTTAATGCCTGAAGCATTATACTACGCTATAATTTCTTACGGTATTTGACTAATGTAATTTTAAAGAAACTTCGGAATTTGAAACAGAAGGTCCTACAGTCGGGAACTTTCATATTGTGATTTTTCGTGTTTTAGGAAAATTAAAAACGCAAATGAAACTCTACAGATACGCGTGATGGGCAGGAGGTAGTTAGTTACATCAGTTTTAAAGAAAAAAAAAAAAAAAAAAAAAAAAAAAAAACGAAGAACTTGGAAACTCGTACGGAATTTCCGTATATGATAAACGCCGATATCAGAGGTAACAATATTTTTTGTTAAAAAATAAATTGTCTTTCATTTGATTCCCTTTCATATTAAGAAATTTGGATTTTGATAGCAATTGACTAAAATTCTGATAAATTCTGATTTCTTGATTGATGATTCGAAAATCTGGGTGCAAAAACGTTTGAAATACCCGACAAATATGAAGTCTATATTTAATAGAACGTTCCTAGAAAACTAAAAGCATCTTTTCTCTTCTTTCCTCTTTCGCAAGAGGAATTTTTGCCCCAGTACAAGAAGATGGGACGTTGGAGAGCAAGATATAATTTTGCACTGTACAACCTTTATACGCAGCTATAAATAACACAAGTCATCCTTAGTAATAGGTTAAGATGGCTGGACCATGTTCGGAAGGTAATCCCACTAAGACCTTGACATTCAAAGAACCCGAGGTATCCAAAGCTAAAGGAAGACCTCCAGTTGATGACAATTTTTATGACATTGATTGTTAGATGATACTGAAAAAGACTTAAAAACTTTGAAAATAAAACTTAAGAGGAGTCGCTGAGGCCTGGAAGGAGCGCGTGGTTGAGGCAACCAAGGTCTGTACGAGGCTGTTGTGCTTCTGAAGAAGAAGGAAGTATGTAGTTAACGACTTGAAAAGATGTATTGCTTATTAAGATGCACAAGAATAAATCTGTGAAAGTTGTCAAATTTGCATAAAAATGTTAATTACGATAGTTAGATTAAGTTTTTACATACCTACAATAAATACAATGAGTAATATTTATGGTAACAATTTAATAACTTACACCATTAGTTGTTACGGTATATATTAGTAACACTTTATACACATCATTCATTAAGTAATTATTAAAAACTGTTAATATTATGTTATAAAATTATTTTAATACTCATACTCTAATATTTTATAAATTAATCCACAGTGCATAATTTATTCTGATAGAGAAATCATTTAGGTAGAGACTTAGGACTAAATGACTCTCAGAAAGCTTGCATAGTAGTAATTATATGGGTGACAGCTTCAAGCTAATTTTCATTAACATCTGGTTCTTGTATGTATTTTTTCCCAATCGTATGATCATAACAAATTATTGTTCTCTTATCAGAACTAAAAATTCAGAAAATTTCGGTCAGTTCTTATAAACACTTCCAATACTTCAAGTATTAAGATATCTTTTGTTAATTAACAGAATGAGGAAATTCTTTATATATTTGAAAAAGTTAAATTAGGTTTAAATTAGGTCGATTTCTTTCGTTAATTAACAGAATGAGGAAATTCTTTATATATTTGAAAAAGTTAGCTATAATATACGTAAAACGTTACTATACCGAGCGTTAAAATCAATTGGAAAATTCAAAACATAAGTAAATGATGAGAGATTTGTTCTTCGCAACGTGTACAAAGGGGTAGATAGAGCCTTTATGATCAAAACAACTTTATGAAAGCTTCCCTAACAGATGTTCTCATGTAAACTTCATCTATTTATTTATGTTTACCAAATTTGCATAAATTATTAGGATGAAGTACCGAGATTCCAGCTGTAACTTTAAATCTAGCACTAGTTGCAGCAGCCAATAGGTAAATGCATAGAATAAAATTTATAATTTTCGGCAGTAATGGTTTTTAGAGTAGGTTTAATAGATATTAAGATATTAGCAATGCTCACGATTTATCACCTTTTATTTTATATTCCGATGAAAGGATGGGACATTTTCTTTCTAAGACACCATATTCTGTTAGATTTCGACATGGATAAGAGAAGCAAATGTATGGTGTAAATTTTTCAATTGTAGCTGGTATTATTGGCCCGGGAAGCGACCAGAGAACGATAGCAATCAGGCAATAAAGGAATATATTGTATCAAATTCTATATTAGCTCTGAATTGGTGCTGCTGAAGCCAGAATAGTCAGCATATTGGGCAACAAGCAAAGCATTCAGATTTAATCAAAGTGGTTAGCCAACATTTATAACCACTGTGATGCTATGGCATCTGGTTACGATCTTATTTGGAGCACAGAATATCGTCATTGCACTTTGTCTGACTAACGTCTGATGGGACGGTCTGATGACAGGATATTTGTATAAGATCTCTCTGCAGACTTTCGCCGTTTGCAAACTGCTTGTTTTCTGATTATGCTTGTTTATAGTAACACACCCACACATAATAATGCATCATGACCCATCAAGTACAAGTCTCGAAGAACTGCCTGAACGAACTCTGCGGCTGCAGCTGCTCTGCTGCTGAGTGGACCAAATTTAAACATTAATCAATATTACTAAGACATCACTAAATTTTTACACTTTTTCACAATTTCACAGTTTTCACAATTTCTGCTAACAATGAATGCATTAAATGTAGTCTCAAAACACACCTGTGTATCTTCATAAAGATTCCAGCGCTTCATTAACTCAGAATTCTATTGAGTAACCAATATTATATTGCTACAATTCGATGTGTCTAATGTTTTGGCAAATCGCTATAATGCAAATAAGCCTATTTTAGTTTTTTGTTATTTAGCGATTATCTGTACTCAGGAATCATAGCGAGCTTTGCATTTTGAACTCAGTTTCCTTTGTGTTAAAAGTTACGTGTCCATACGTAACGTGTTAGAGAATTTAAAAATGCTTTTAATAGGCATTTATATGTATTTTGAATGCATTGAACTATAATTGCAGTAGTATTTTTGGTATTACTTTGGTAGACGGTCGCACGGATTTTTGGCGATTTACATAGGCGCAATTGTTGGCGCGGTTTTTACAGTCGTCAGCCATCTTGAAAAAATGCTGTTTTTACGTATTTTACGTATATAGTAAAGTATTCGAAACTTTAAAAAAAATAAATATCGTTAAAAAAATTGATTAATTTTTTGTTGAAAACGTTGTTTTTTAAGACGGCTGGCAAATGTAAATAAATACATTTACTAAGACTATAAAATGCTAAAGTAAGGTTAAATTATTACTTTCATATAATAGAATAAAAACACCGCTATAAAAACATTGCGCAACATTTAATTGGATTAAAATATTACTTAAATTGAATATCGAATTAAAAACACCATACCAACGTTTAAAAGAATTAAAATATTACTTAAATACTTTAAAATAAGTTTTATAGGATTTAATTATTTAATATTAAAACACATGCGGCAATAAATATCTCATGAATTCTTTAAAACATTGTATTAATTTTTTAATAAAAATTGAAGCATACAATTATGAAGTAAAAGAAAATTATGTACTTACATTTTTTAACCTGTCTTATATTAATAAGTACCACAAAAAAAAAAAAAAAGGTTCCCTAACGATCTTTATCTGTATGATTCACATCTCTCACACTTCATTGAAGAAGCAATTAGCCATGTTTTCTCCAAAAATTTAAAATAAATTTCCCCTGACGGTATTAACAATTTATAAATAAATCTTTGATTAGGAAAGCCAGGTTGGCCAAAATAAGGCCTCAAACGGCAATTTTTTTATTCCGATACAAATAATTCTTGGTAATTACCATTAACAACATTCATATTCGAAACGGACACATCCATTCGCTTTGAAATTTGAGGAATTCGAAGAGATGAATAATAAAATTTTAAAATGGCGCGGTAATGCCCAAATATTAAGTAACCAATCAGGGAGCTGATTACATCACGCATAGAATTAAAATTATTTAAATAATCGTTCATAATAAAATCATATTTTAAAAGAATGCAAAATTAAATTGTATTTTAATATTTAACAGCCATAAATAATGTTTAAAACATTAGATTAAATTTATAGATATTAAAACCAATTACTTTTAAAATAATGTGACGTCATTCATTACATCATTCACAACATAAAATTTCATAAAATATCATAAACAATAAAATTTGTATTTCAAATAAAAATGCAAAATTAAATTCATTTTTATTATTTTGAAGTCATAAATAATATTTAAAACACGGAATTTATGCATAATAAAACGCGTTATTTTTTAAATAAAATGACAGCAAAGCATCTGTTACCATAAACAACTTGTCTAGCAATGGGTTTACCATAATTCGTATCGCTCGCCAAAATAAAAATCGCCAAAAAATTGCCAAAATCCGTGCAACCGTCTACCAAAGTAGCACCATATTTTTTATTTACATTTATCATTCTTCCTTCTTTTCCTTCTTACATTCATATTTATTAATGTTTTTTTTTTTTTTTTTTTTTTTTTTTTTTTTTTTTTTTTTTTCCTCCACAGGAACTAACGTAGTTCAAACTTCACGGTTTTTGTTCCCCAGAACAAATGACATACCACCATGCAAGACGGATCATGGTCTGTTTGGCCAATGTGTGGATGTTCGTCTCTGCTATGCAGCTAGAAGAGCAGTCAGTACTGGAAACCATCCTGTGCGCTGCGGATGGATCAATAATTATATACCTATGGTGTGCTGCCATCCTGATCAAGTCCAGCATCCTAAACTTGTATTCAGGTCTTACAGATCTCGCAGAAGGAACTGGGCAACATGAATTGAATCAATGCTGTCTTCGAATTTGCTTACTATTCGTTTTTTCGGCCTCTGCTTGCTTCATTCATATAAGTTTTCGTTCTCATTCACATTTGCAGTTGTTGTTAAAGAAAATAAATTTTTATGTTTTCTAACAATTCTTATTAGTTCACCAATTTTACACGGATAAATCAGGAACATGACAGTAAGAATTTATTATTTATTTTAAAAGTTACAATATATTGAAGGTACTTAGAAATCTTTCATTGTATTCAAGAAACCACTGTGATGATATACAAGATATACGTTATCACATTAAAAATATAAAATATATGTGCTACTTTAGTTAAGGAAAAAAAAAAGGTGCCTTTAATAAGATTATTCTACTGTATTTAAGTGAATCTCCAAACACTTACCATTGCAGCATCGCGGGAAAGATAGGATACAGATGTAAGTCTATTTGACATTGAGGTGAATGGTTGTCTCATTAAACTGACTAGATAGTGCTAAGATGGTGATGGTTTTAGCCACTAATTTTTGTCCCCAAATTTGGCCGGAAATGGCCAAGCTAGGCGAAATTTTGGTCCAATCTTTATGTAACTCTAACTGTGCATGTCTTCCATCAATTTTAAGTAACCGAGTGTACTAGAAATTTCTTGGCGAGCGGGGGCGAAACTATATAAGACCGGAGAGAGCATCAGTTTTCAGTTTAACTCAGAGTATTGAGTCTGTAGAATTCTTATCAAATTATCTTGAAATGGGTTGTAACTTAATAGTACTAATTCGCAGAATTCGTGAATAGACGTTACATGATTACAGTTTATGAAGCTTGATTCAAACACAATAATAAAACCATTATTTTAAGACGAGCAGCTGGTGTTCCTGTCATTACAGGCCAGAGTTTCTTTTCACACTGATCAAAACATTAATCAATATTCTCTGTGCAAAGCGTCATCTATACATAAAAATTCTCTACAGAGTCCAGAGTGTTGAGAGATAACGGTGCGAGCTTACGCTTTTGAGGCTCTTTAGAATTAATTACCTTTTGTTCGACGGTCTTGGTAGTTTGAAGTAGTAGCTACTGATTGTGCTTTGTCATACTAAGAACAGCTGCATTGAGTAGTTTTGTATGAAAAGTTCCAGAACTACGAGTGTAAAGTGTTTTCAATAAGTGATGAATTAATAGAAGAAATTTTAAGACATACTACAAAATTGTTATAGCTGAGGTTAGAGCTTTTTGATATAAGTACATAAGGATGTTTTTTAATCTCAGCAAGTTAATTAATATGATATAAATTTAATAAAATCATAGGAATGAAATGTTACCTTTTTCAGTTTTAACAAATTGCAAAATATGCGATCGCAGTAATTGAAAAGACTTTAGGAAGTTTAAGAAAATTTCCTTAATTAAAGGTCGAACTTTTTGATATGATTATCTATTGGTATTTCCGAAATGTCACTAGAATAAGTTACTTTATATCTTGGAAGTAAGTTAAATAAAACCGTAGAAGTAAAGGAGCGTCTTCTTCCCAAATTCTACAAGAATTTAAGTATAAACAAGAATATAAGTAAGTTATATTAACCTCTTGAAGCATGCTTTACAAGGAATTATACATAGGATTCCTAAAAATTGGGATAAATAACAATTCTTAATAACTCTGAATGCGGACTGGTCTTTACTAACTTGTTAGACATTAAAAGCTAAGAAATATGATCATTCAAAGACTGTTGTCTTGCCAAAAAGCTATGAGTTACATCTTGTATAGGTATAACGAGATTTCTGATCTGACCTAACCGTGAATATAATAATGTAAATAACGAGCTCAAGGTCTGGATTTGATGCAATGAGCATAGAACTTAAATAAAATAGATGTTTTCAGGAAAAGCCGAATCTTGCATTCCCACTGAAATGCCTCTTTAGCAACTCAGGATTGAAAAGAGAAGCTTTAACGACTAACTACTCCCTGAGTATTTTCTGCGTTTGGCCACACACTTAATATTCAAGCAGTTTATTCTCCTAAAGGGTAAGAATTCAGAAATAACTACCACCTATATTACTTTTGAGTCACACCCATTTGCATATTTAATATTCATGCAGCTGATGTCTTGGGAATAACAAGCCACTCGGTCTTCACGTATAGGTTCATTGTTTTACCTTTGCCTTATGTTTTAATAAAGCGGCTTTACTTAACATATTCGACTGGGGAATTGAGCGATGTATTATAAAGAGGAATACAAGTAAAACAAGAACGATTCAGAATAACGGGTTAATTAAAATAAAGTAGCACCTTATAAGCACATCTTTTTACATTGACAATGAAGTCTGTTGATCTCAGAGATATCTCAGGTGGAGAATTGCCATCAGATCCTTTTCTCTTCTGGTTTTCTGCCGAGATTTATAATGTTTGGGTCAAAATAGCCGAAGAAAACAATTTTGTAATAAAATATTACATTGGCATATATATTTGGCATCATGTTCGGCGACAAAATGATAGAAATCGAGTTTATGCGCTCTATTGTGAAAAGGTATGATATTCTCAGCCATATACGCTGATATGCCAAATTAAAGGATAGGCTGGAAAATAGTATGTAACACACGCGTATAAATTCTATGAAAGGTCATTGCACATATTTATTTAAAATGGTAAAAGTTGCAAAAATTTAGTTAAACTTCCATTGACGAATAGAATATGGAAATAAGCATAAATAAGAACGAATATTAAAATCCATGTATATATCCTAATTATAAACAACGTACTGAGCTAGTAATTTATATGATGGACAATTTTTGACAGGAATGTCCTTTTTTGTTGATTTCTAGGTAAGTTGACAACTGATCAGTTGCAGATGCACATGTTCGGAAGCTTTGGTATTCCAGAAAACATTCTGAACAATATCAAAATGATTTCTCATCACTGGACGTGCTAGTAATAAGGAAGACCATAATGCAAAAGATATTGCATTATGTCACCAATAACTGTTGTTATTGGTAAGAGGAATTCTTGCAACCTCTTGGCAATTCACATTTAATCTCTTTCCATCCGTTGGTATAAAAATAAGCAGGATCGGTTAGTTATCTGAATAACGAAGGAAGATGGCCTATATTTTTGGCATTTTGTATTTAATACCCTCTACTACTACTGTTCTAATCACACTTGGAAGTGAAAGCAGCTTTTATCAAATTATGTTCCGATTCTGTCACTCTTGGAACGCAAAGGATTACAGATATTCCGATTAAAACTTTTACCGACTGGTGAATATTTTATTATACAATCAACCATGAACCCTTTTGAAATTACCAGCCTTGAAACACCTGCAGATATTGATAATGTAGTCGAGGGTTTTATCAGCATTAAAAACGTTTTCACAAATATTTAGGACTGCTCTGAACAAGAATAATTTTTGAAACTTCCACGACATCATCAAATTCCCTAACAGACTTCTCAAGCGCTTGCATCTGACATGGGACCCTGCATTAATGAAAGAGATTATCAAAATCAACAAAGATTAAAGTTCCTGTTGCTTAACATTAGATAAAATTAATGGAAACATAAAATACAACCTCTATCCATAAACTTTGGTGAATGTGTTTACAGTTACAATGGATTGATGTCTTACATAAAACAGCTGTTACTGCCCTACGAAGTAATCCCCGATGGTAGTAATGCACATTTAGAAACGGCTGTCCAAGTCCTGGAAACATCTGGTGTAGTCGTCTTAAGGGATGGCCTTCAGCTGGGTCGTAAACACTATGTTGGATGTCCGAAAACCTCTGGCTTTTCAGCGTTGATTTCAATTTCGGGAACAAGGAAAAGTCCGGGGAAGGCAGTTCTGGAAAGCAGAGGGGGTGATTCAGGGCACAACTCCCTAGTTAGCCAGAAACTGCTGCACCAGAAAGACAGTGGGAAACCGGGCATTGTCATGGAACAGGATCCAATTGGCTTAGGGGTCGTACCCGCTTGATTCGTTGCAGCAGACCTCTCAGTATTTCCACGTAAGGTAGATGCATTTAACGTGGTGCCCTCAGTTAGAAATTCTTAAAGAATGAGACCGTTGAGAGTCAAAAACCACCTCAAGCATTGTCTTAATGCGAGATTTCTCACTTTGCACTTTTTGCTTTTCGGGGATCCTGAACCCGGCCACTCCATACTCTGACGTTTGCCTTTGGAGTCGTTCAAGCACTAAATCTCGTCACTCGTGACGATGATTTTGCAGAAATTTGGGTTTTGATTCGCCATGTCGAAGAGGTCTCCACTGGCGTCAAGCCGAAGTTGTATTTGTTCCGGCGTGAAAGTGTGGGTCAGGAGCACAGCTTAGGTTTTCTAAATTGTGGGTCACTGTGAGGTGGGCCGTCTCATGATCAATTTCCGCATTTCCCGCTATCATTCACACTGTCACAAGTCGATCCTGTGCCAAAAGTTCCTTCACTTTCGTTCGGATTGCGTGCTGTTGCTAGCCGACCATTTCGATGGTCTTCAATGGTGTCACGCCCTTCTATGAAGTATTTAATCCATTTATACAGGCACTTCAAGGTGATAGCACCTTCTTCGTAAACTGTTACCAGCATTTCATGAGTCTCTGTTGCTGATTTTCAGGTCTGAAACAGAACAGCAAATTCGTTCGCTAATCCATTTTGAGTTTCCACCGCACACACAATACCTTCACTCTACAGTGAGCTGTTTCCACGCGATATACACACTCACTTTGCTGCCGCTCACTAACTGGTCCAGACCAGTCTAGGCCTGTCCGTCGCGGGATGTGCCAATTACACACTCTTACGACAGCGAGCCCATTAACGTCATTCACCGAACTTTTTGAATAGAGGTTTTATCAACGCCTTTGATACTAACAAGCTCTTTTTAAAACTGAGTCAAAAACCTGAAGCATAAGATACAGTGCTATAAATAGATTTTCATAAAAAAATAGTGATTCTTTATCCATTGAGGTTAAAGCAAAAGTATTTGATGATCATCTCGAGAAAAATGAACTAATTGAACATCCAATAGCACCTGTTTTCACAGAGGCCATTACTGATGCTATTAAATGTTGGAATCAGTTTCCATTCCTCAAGAATCTTATTCCACTGACTACACCCAAAACGCTCCGCAATATTATCAAGGAATTAAACATTAATACGACACTTGGTTTAAAATTACAA